TCAAACAATAGTGGTCAGTAGAGATGTTGTCTTTAAACCTTATCAGAAAGGAGAGGTTGTCAGAGCAGAGGGCATCACAGAAGATTGGGCTAAGACTGTTCCTGATGAAGACAAAGAACTTGACAAAACCGTATCCATTCCTATCCTATGCGAAGACAAGAGTCAGCCAATCAATTATCAAGAGGAAAATGAAGAAGCTGAACCTGATGAAATTGAATATTGTGAACAACCGGAAGAGGAAGATTTAGGAAGGCAAAGGCAACCACCTAGTTATCTTCAAGATTATGTTCTTGTAGCTGAAGCTGGACCAACATACCGTTAGTAGTGAAGAGTGGTTTCAGTTGGCAGACTTCTTGACAAAGAGTTTACCTTCTAGTCGACTGAAGGAACTTTTGAACCTTTGAACTTTGAACTTTTGAGGTTTGAGGGCAAATTAAAAAGATTTTGAAACCTGAGAGCCTGTGAGTTGAGTTGGTATTAATATTCTTTAAAAACATGTGTTGTTTATTATAAAAAAAATAACAAATGATTATCATTCTACTCATAACATGGCCTTTGTTAAATAAAATAAAACTAATTTCTTTATCCAACTTTTATTGTTTTTATTTTTCTCAAAGCATTTTAGGATTAAAGATACATTAATCTAACTGCCACAGACGGTTCTCACACTATGCTCATACTTTACTACTTACTAAGCCACTTCCTACATTGTGGACCTGTTTTCAACACTTTCCATAGCATTTTAGTGTTTTAGATACGTTAATCTAATTGCCACAAACATTCCCTACACTCCGCACTGCTAGCCTTTACTACTTCTTTCACCATTTTCTATGTCGTGGAGATGCTTCCATCCCTTCTCATAGCATTTCAGCATTCCAGATACATTAATCTAACTGCTACAAACGGTTTCCAGTTCCCACACTCCACACTGCTCACCTTACTACTTCCTTCACCTCTTCTTCCGTCGCAGACCTGTTTCCCTCTCTTTCCATAGAATTTTAAGATTGTAGATACCTTAATCTAATCGTCATAAACAGTACCCACACTCCGGACAGCTCGCCTTGACTACTTCCTTCACCACTTCCTACGTCTCGGACCTGTTTCCCTCCCTTCCCATAGCATTTTAGGATTGGAGATACCTTAATCTAATCGTCATAAAAAGTTCCAACTCTCCGGACAGCTCGCCTTGACTACTTCCTTCACCACTTCCTACCTCACGGACCTGTTTCCCTGTAGCCACATAGCTGTGGCTACGTTCCCTCCCTTCCCATAGCATTTTAAGATTGTAGATACATTATTCTAATCGTCATAAACAGTTCCCACACTCCGAACAGCTCGCCTTGGCTAGTTCCTTCACCTGTTCCTACATCGGGGACCTGTTTTCCTCCCTTCCCATAGGATCATAGGATTGCAAATATCATAATCTAATGGTCATAAACAGATCCCATACCCCGAACAGCTCGCCTTTACTCCTCTTCCTTCACCACTTCCTACGTTGCGGACCCCTTTTCCTCCCTTCCCATACAATTTTAGGAATGCAGATACCTAAACACATGTTTTATTTACAGCCTGGGTGAAAATAGAGAAGCCTGAACCCTTACATTCCATCCCCAGAAAAGTTGTTGCCAGTTTTTAAATTAAATTTGTCGTAGTTGATGTGAGCCACCAACAGACTGCGCTGATTTAAATGACTTAATTCCTGTTGAATACACAATGTTTTTTACCAAGTCAAACTGTTTGAATGAGCTATAGCAACTGTTATGACCCATCAACTCTGTGTCAGCAATAAAAAATAAGGTAGAAAATAGAATTTAAGGCACGCTTTCAGTGAATGGCTCACACTACTACATGTTAAAAAAATGGCGACAGATGGTCCATAGATGGTATGTCTACTTCAGTATCCAATAGTCAATACGTTTACATTACATGTTTTTGGTCGAGTTTTCGACCACAGGACGACCACTAGTATGTATAGATATACCACTGATCTGCAGGTAAAGATTGAACTTTGAAAAAAGCTCAGTATCTACAGTAAAACATATCAATTATAAGTTAAATCAATATAAACTGATTACTACAGTGAGCTTTGAGCGATTTATTTGTCCTTATTTACTTCATTTGTACGTTTTTTCAACGAAATAAAATGTTTAAGTAAGCTTATCATTTGAAAATTGAATCGTATATGTACATTATTTCCATAAATGCTTCAGCGTCTCATATAATTCGTACTAGGTAGCCTTATAAGTTTGCCTAGCATTAAACAAAGATATTTTTCAAACTAAGAGTTTTAGTTGAGTTATGTTCTTGAAACCAAAGGGGAATGTTTAACTATTTCCTATAACACAAATTAAATATCAATTTTTTTCGCTTCAGTGTTCCTCTCCGTTGCGAGGCACGGGTACAACAGCTAGTATCCAATAAAGTGAACGACTGCAATTTCCAAGTTTGGTGGGGGTGGGGGAAAGCCCAAGGGTGAGAATCAGGGACTTTTCGAAAATACACGTCTTAAGTGGTTCTATGACATAAAACAAATCCAGCTTTCCACTATTTAGCTACGAAAAATGGCAGTTTGTGTGTTTATTGACTGGGCTAGATCCGATGTCGCAGCCCAGAGGTGTTCAACTAGCCCACACACACTCTATTTTTCGACACCCAGCTCTTTACCAGTTCACGTAGATGACTAACCAATATAATATATTTGTAAACCTTAAAAAACCTTGCCAACCCTAGAGCTCCCAAGTTAAGAGGATTACCAAAAATACACAAAACTAACGTACCCATAAGGCCCTTGGTAAATTTCACACCTGCCCCCACCTACAAAATAGCCAAAAAACTTGATACAATAATAAGAAAAGAAATAGTACTCGAAAACAACCACAGTGTCAGGAATACCATAGATTTAGTAAATAAGGTTTCCAACATAAAACTAAAGGATTCTTACATCCTAGCATCTTTTGATGTCGTCAATCTATTTACTAACGTTCCAGTTAATGAAACAATGATTTTACTTAAAAACAATTTGGACAAACATTCTTCACTACCATCGAAGGCAAAAGAAGAACTGGTTATCTTAACCCAAAACGTCCTGAAGCAAAGCTACTTCGAATTCGAGAACAAGTATTACATCCAGAACGAGGGACTAACAATGGGTTCACCACTTTCAAGTATACTCGCTGAATTATTCTTGAACCATGTCGAAAACAAACATCTTTGGTCCGATTCCAACAGAAATCTCAATAGAATTATCCACTATAGTAGGTACGTGGACGACACCCTCATCTTATTCAATGGTAACGAGAGGCAAATCAACCTTCTCCATACATACTTAAATAAATTTCACAAGAACTTGCAATTCACCCTTGAAATTGAAGAAACAAAATCAATTAATTTCCTAGATGTCACCATTACCAGAAGCGACAACCATTTAAATTTTAAAATCTACAGAAAACCTACTACAACTGATCAGACAATTCATTCGTTATCACACCATCCACATAACCATAAAACCGCCGCATGCAATAGTTTTGTCCACCGCTTACTTTCCATCCCACTGATGAGTCCCACTGATTACAACGATGAAGTAAATATTTTAAAGCATATAGCAGTCGCAAATGGCTACAATAGTTCCTTGATCGATAAATTGATTAGTAGACAACGCAATAAAAACAATAACAGACCACAAGACAGCAATAAAAGATACGTCAGCGCTAACTACGGTGTTGTACTGAACCACACCCTAGTAAACGAATTGGCTAAAAATGACGTTATTGTATCATTTAAAACCAACAATAAACTCTCAACCATCGTCAAAGAAAAGTGCAAACCTGAAACTAATAGAATGGAAAAAACAGGAATTTACAGATTGAAATGTAACGATTGCCCCAATTTTTACATTGGCCAGACTTCAAGATCTTTTTCTACCAGGTTCAAGGAACACAAGCCTAAGGTAAATTCCAAATCAGCGTACGCAAACCACCTAATTTCCCACAACCACAATTACACCGACATTCACAATAATTTAGAAATAGTACAGTTCTGTAATAAAGGCCGATACATGGATACAGTGTAAGAGTATGAAATTTACAAGGCGTCAAAGGAAAACCCACAGCATATATTGAACGAAAAATTATCATTCGAGTCTAACATCATCTACAACACTGCCATTCATATCCTTAATAGAAAGACAACAAAAGAACGAGATAAGGATATCATAGGAGTAGGGGCGGGAGTCAACGCTGACGACACGTGACAGTCGCGACTTACCCTCAGCCGGTGCCGTATCACGTGTTTCGTTACCGCCTGGTCGACCAGTGTTAAATGTTCAGTTTCGTGTTTTTGTGTTTTTATGTCGTGTCTATGTTATTTATTTACCACTATAAACTTTTGACGAACTCCATCATGAGGAATATCTAATGACTGCTTGACATTCTCCCGACCTGAAGATGTGCTCCTGCAGCACGAAACAGCTGTAGTCACTACGAACTACATAGGATCGTTTTGGACAGAACAAGGTAATTTAAACCACTATACGATATTATTCCTATTTAAAAGAATATGTAGAGAAAGGCTAAATTGTGTACCTACTCTGAAACAAATTAAGCTTTTATCAAAGTTTAAATTTTATACCTACCTAAATACTGGTTTTAGAAACAAATGTTAAATACATAAGTCATAGGAAAACTAATCAGAAATAAAACGAAACAAATTTCAACACGATATACAGTAGTTATACATAGTATACATAGTATTTGACTTATGATCAATTAAATTAAACAGTTGTGATAAAAAAAAACTTTATTGACTGGACTAATGCAGTGGAGCAGGTATGTTGCTTAGAAAACTTATTTAGGTCATCCTACTTGGCTAAATATTTTGGAAGGATCATTTTCATTTTCACATTTAGAGCAGTAGAAGCGATAGGGCTAACTTATTATCACTAAACTGTGGAAATTACACATTTATTTAATTTTAAGAATGCTAGCTACTCATCCGACACTAACCTTAAATTCGGCTTCAGTGACGTAGAATTCGAGGTAGAACGGCTGACCTGGACGGAACGGAAACTTTTCATGAGTCGGTCCCTCATACTTGCCCCAAGTGCCTGCCAGGCGGGTGTTACAAGAAGTGTACCAATTTAAACACTGATTAAAGTGGAATCCAATGTCAGGCTTTTCATTGTCTTTTGTACTTCCAATTAAGAAGTTCACTTCAAACCTGGAATGACTAGAGGTTAGTTTGTCTAGTGTTTACGTCTTTGATTCAGGCCAACTTGTGAAGCATTAAATAGGATTCTCTTCATTAAGAGTTAAGACTTTAAAGTCTACAATTATCAAGATAATAATTACCAGTACAACAAATATAAATAAAGAGTACAAACTCCAATAACATGCCTACTTTTTCTACATGCAAACTAGGTTGAATAAATTACCCTGCAATAATATTATTATCTTTTCCTATATAATGAGTAAATTTTGAGTATTTGTTACTTCGATCTCAAAATCGGCACCAAGAAACAAGAAACACATTTATACTTACAGTACCTATATAACTAAGTTTTGCATCAAAAATAAGTTCTAGACCAGTGATATTTAAAAAAAAATCTGTTTTCGCCATATGTATATGAACTTTGGACAATTTAACATGAGCCTTATAAGGGCTCCCATATACCCATGAATATTTTTTACCAAATAACCTGATTCAGCCAGCGGAAATTAGCTATTGCATACTGTTTACAGGTCTGGCAATGTGATCGTTTGGATGCAGAGCTAAGGATATAGGAACGGTCATATCAATACAATTGAGCATATTATAGCCTACTATGAAATGAATAACAAAATAGGTCATTGTGGAGTAGGGAGATTAATGAGAAGATAAAATGGAATAATTTGCGAATATACCTGTTTTTGAGACAGTATTTAGTTAATTAATTTTTATTTAACTATTATTTTATGTGGAATTTCAAACACTCCTTATCGTAATGCATCTTCTATTTCTATTGGTTGATTAGTAAATGATCACAACACTCTACACGCTGCCACACCACAGCATTAATTTGCATTGTTGCGGTAGACTAATCTAATCCAAACATGCAAAGGGAAGGGAAGGTAGCTTTGTCTAATGTAGAATTTTTGTAAACTAGTGCACCACAAATGGTCCTTTGGATTCCTCCAGCTGACTTTATCGTTAAATATGTAGCTATATTTTTTATATTTTAAAGCCTTACTAAATTGCCAGTAAATGAAATAAACAGTAGTTAATTAATAAACAATGAGGCATATGTGGCGTGGTTAAATTCATTAGGAGAGAAAACAAGATCAAAAATACGAAAAACATGTATACAGCGCATAGGCTACTTCAATACGTTTTCAATGAAATGGCGACCATACAATTGCAAAGTAGGTATTTTAAGCCAAGTATGAATGGAGATAAGTGTAGGATGAGTGATGCGATCTTGTAGTCTTGTTAGTGACTAAGGCCGACATATTCCTTAGACACAGCTGTTAATTAATAGTCCATTCAGCTAATGGCAAGTAAGGGACCTACAGGTTATAGTGGTCATAACTGCTGCTTACAAGAACAAAGTGATCTAAAATATTATTGAGTGAAAATTTAAAAACGTACGTTTTCATGTCCCTGGCCTTTTACTTCGTAGATACTGGATTTGTAGTTTATTATTATGTGTTTTAATATTTTTTGGGACGGGGGCAACATGTTACACACATTTATTTGGTTTTAAATAAGTTCTAGGTATTTTTTTCGTCTTTTTAAAGTCTCAAAATTCACGACCATGACGTGTCCCTAGGGTACATTTTCCAACTTTCACGCTGTTTTTAGACTATTTATTCATGCCGAAATATATAAAGCCATATTTTTATGTCATCAATGGTTATTAAACTTACAAAAAAGGAGCATATTATAATTTTATTGTCATTGCAAACTGACTACCATGACAAAATAAGTCTGTCCCTCGATTTGGCGTCACGACCATTTGGGAAAAAATTTCAACTTTGGAGCACGACAGTGGCAAGCCTGGCGTCGATGGAGTCAGTTGGTTTGAGAGACTAGTTCGGGGTGTACGTCAGGATTGTAGTGCCGGTCGTTTCGAGTTGAAAGGAGGAATTACAAGATTAATAAAGGAAAGATTGTGTTTTTTGTAATTTTGGTGTGTCCATGACCGTATGTAGTCATTCGATGAAGTAGACATGGTGTTAATTTTTGTTTATAAGATATTTCAATTGCTAGATTAATCTAGAAGTCCACTTTGTATCCTCGAACATGAGGTGCAGGGCTACCGCCAGAACATAGCCAAATAACACGTAATTTCACGACCAAAGTTTCACGACCATCGCAGGTTTTTTCACGACCAATCCAGCCTTATGGATTATAGTGTGTTTGGTCGTGACAATAACTTTAATATGATTGTAAATTGAACAGTTTAGTTCAATTGAAACACATATTTTTATTATAACTAACAGTGTAATTGAAGGATTGTTTAGAAAGATTTAGATTATTTCAGAAAACTCACGACCGTACCACTTGTCCCTGACCATCACGTTTATGATTTCTATCATAAAAATTTCAAAAATTAAAATATTGTCATATTTCAATGTTTTATACACAAAAGAAGCACACCCCTATACAAACATAACGATTTTTCGGGTCTCAGGTAAGTTTTTTCAGAGTTATACAAACTTAAAAAGATTTTATTGGCTTTTTTCAATTTTTTGAGTTTTTTTATTTTTTTCTAGAAAGACCAAATATACCAAAAGCTCAGTGACCTTTTTATTGTATAATGGTCATAAAAGTAAATTATTTTATAGCAAAACATAGTTATAAAAATAATATTAACTATTTTTAATGTTCATTTAAACGTCTGTTATGGTCGTGACAGGATTTTGTGTTTTTCCACTAAAGATGCTCTTTTAAAAAAAAACTACCAAAGATATTGCGTTACCATGGACATTTTATGAAACTTAAAATGTTAATGAAATAAAAATAATAATAAAAGTTTTGAAAAAAGGGGGAAAAATTTGCAAAGTGCTTTTCCTGAAAATGTACGTTTTTAAATTTTCTGGTACTGGTATTCAATCTAGACAATGTTTACAAGAAAAATCCATACAACAGAATATACTTATGAATTTAGTTTGTCAAACAATTAAAATAAAACATGTTTATTCAGAATGTTGACAAAACTTATACCTAACCACATCAAGAGGAATTATAGGTTTTTTAATCCATTTTTGTATGTAGGCTTGTTTGGAAACCGTTCTCATGTCCATTTGTTGAATAGGACAACTGGTGAATTTTACATGAAGTACCAACTTGCCACAGTAATTTAGATTTTCTTTGGACTAACTAATTTTGAAAGTAAAAATATATGGTATTGTTATATTGCAATAACAAATATTGTTGTTATATTTTAATAACTAGCTGTGTACCCGTTCTACGCACGGGGATCTTATAGTAATCAGTTGAAACCTTCTTATATAAAGAACAACAGTTGGTTTGCATATTTTCAGATATGCTGGCCAAACTATTTATTATACATAACTTCATTTTATGTCGTTTGTTGTTGTTCCGGATCGGTATGACAATCAATAAAAGGCTAAATTACCTATGTCCGCTGGTCCATCCTAATGTATCCTATTACAGAAGATGTATTTCGGCGAAATTAAATCACCATCATCAGTCCTAATATAAGGTCTTGAGCTCCCCATTAGGTGCGTCTTGGAGTTTTCGAAACACATACACGAACTGTACACTTATACACATGACGAATAAAACATAAATACACAGTAGGCCTACTTTTATTTTTACTATGGACAAGTAGACGCGCGTCGGTCGTGTGCCGAGTCTCGACTGAACACGCTCATTTAAAAAATGTAATTTTCCCAGCAATATACAACACTGATTCAAGGTCTATTTCCCGGTATCAAAACTCAAGAACAATTTTATACACAAAGAATCTCTATTTTCATTTACTGTTACCCTACATAATATTATTGCACTTGCGATTAATTAAATCCGTTATGTAAGGAAAAACGTTTTTAATCTTAATTGGTTTGGATTTGCTTTCAAAACGTGATCGGAAATGGTTGCGGTATTTGTAAACAACATTCAATGGAAACATATCAGTGACAGCTAGAAGAAATAATCTTGATTTGAACAGCTGTTCGTTATTTCATAGAAGAATATGTGCTAAACATTGGGAGAAAACTTTACAAAAAATCGCACAAAATTGGGTTTTTTAACGTCCGTAATTTCATTTACAAAGTAGTGACGCCATATTTTAATGGCTAAAGACAATCTCGCCAATCCAGTGAATACATTAAAATGATTTTGAACTTGATAGGTACTCTCGTTTTTCAGGAGTAGGCTGCGTAAAATGGCTCTTGGGTCGTAACAAACAGGAAGACAGACAGAAATTTAGATGAGACTTGTTTCGGTTTCCCTAATGTATAAAACGTAAAAATAACCTAAAAGTTTATGATTCTGAGCAATGTACAGACAAAACTCTAATTTTATTTATATAGATATGATATAATAATATATATTTTAATAATATGGTATAATCTAATATATAAAATTCTTGTGTCACAGTGTTTGTCTGCAAACTCCTCCGGAACGACTTCACCGATCGTTATGAAATTTGGTGTGTAAATTCTGTAGGTATGCGAATCGGACGTAAACTATTTCCCGTTTCGAAATTCTTAAAAGGGCTCCGCCCCAGTGGCTCTGGAGTTTCCCATGTTAACCTTATGAGAAATGGAATTAATGAATCTTAACAGCTGTTTCAATTAAACAAGTTGGTTCTGTTCTATGATGTTCAATAGCATTAAAGTTACAAGGATTACCAACAGGGTGCAGCACTATTATTTCTTTTACATTTATGACAACAGCTAATTTGCAACCAAAAGGTGAGTGAGCGTAGCGAACGAACTTCAACCTGGAGGCGAGTTAGCGTAGCAAACGAGCTAACCTGAAGGCAAGTGAGCGCAGCGAACGAGCTCCAACCTAAAGGTGAGTGAGCGTAGCGAACGAGCTCCAACCCAAAGGTGAGTGAGCGTAGCGAACGAACTTCAACCAGGACGTGATTGAGCGATGCGAACGAGATCATCTTGAAAATTAAACGTAACGGTACTTTCTTTCCATCTGTCTGTCTTAGGGGAAACCTATAACTTAGGCGATACGAAGTTCGCCGGGTCAGCTAGTAA